AGGTCTACCACAAGGTAAGAACTCGTCTGCAAACTCCTAATCCCCACATGACCCCGTGCGTTGGTGAGTACATCATGTTCGCTCAAACCTTGTAGGCAGCTCACCTCAAGTCTGTCTTAGTCTTCATATTCCTCCTTTAGCCATCTTACTGTTTTCCTAATGAACCTTCACTTCCGACCCCAAGACCTAGGTATTAACTTTATGAGATTGGGGGAGCTTGAATTTCAGGGGAAGAAGAAAGTGGATCTTCAATTTTAGTTAGTCTGGTCAGCTCAAGGTAATTTAATGCCGTAACACTAACAGTTGTGAAGGATAATCAGGCGACAAGGAAAGGAATTGACAAATAGACACACTTAGTTCAGGTCTGGGAATTCAACCTTGGAAATATAAACTCAATTTTTGAAATACCACCTGGATATTTTTTTTTGTTTGTTTTCTTCACTAGGAATTTAAAATATCCCTGATATGTCATTCAAAGGTGAGGACCTAGTTCAGGCTAAGAAACTGTAATTGATTTTTTTTTCCACCCTATTTTATATTTTTTAGTGTTACTTTTTCCCCATCCTTTCTCTTCCATTTTGCATGGTCCTCTTCAGACAGATTTTATGAGGATTGAGACATGCTTTTGGTTCTTATCAAAGTGGAGTTCTCATTTCTAAAGATTGAATTAGCAGAAAAGGAACCTTCATACAACTCCTTGGCACTTGTGGTGACGATTGTTAATCAGATTTTAGGTGTGATAACTTTGATTTTGTGAATTTGCAAGTTATGGTATATTTCAGGTTGCACAAAATGTTATTAGAATAGCCCATAATTAGCACGGATTGCACACGTCCATGGACCATTTGAAAGCCGTGATAGTACTCACACCCTTCTGTGTTTGATCAAGCATCCTGTATTACTCTGTAGATTGCTAGCTGTGTTATACTTTGCTTATAAATTGTGATGCTACACCATATAGACTGCCATGGGATGCTCAGGACATTGGCATGTTGACTAATTTTGGCGTGGCTTAATTATTTCAGCACTTCCTGGTCATGGACAAATGGCGCCAGGGTTTGCAGCACCTCCCATGATGGGCGCCCCAATGATGGGAGCGCCACACATGATCCCACGCTTCAGGTGACCTGTTCCCGGTATGTAGCCAGCAGGTAGGAAGCAGCAGGACAAGCAGCAGCAGGTCGGCGCTGGTGAGGCAACACACGCATGCCCTCGTCATGACTGATAAGTCAGCCTCCTCACCGACCCTCCCTCGCTCGCTCGCTAAGCACACTAGCGCAGTCACTCAGTCAGTCAGTCACTAAGTTGGCCTGTGGGGCAAACCAACACTCGCCTGGGACTACCCCGAGATGCGGAACTCCTGTCAACATTACCTACTACACTATGCAAGATATCTCAGACACCACTCATGTCAGAGGCAGACACGTCCAGTTTTTAGGTAAAGTTGAGGTAGGAAAACTCAATTGAGCCAAGATTGTAGAACAAGAATTACTTTGCGCATCATGAGTGATGTTTAAAATTATCTGACCTCTAGAACCTCCCAGTAGAATACAAAACCAAATATGTAATATGAAAGGGTGGAAAGGTCCCAAACACTTGTTGGTTTACCTTCACAGAATCCTGGTTAGTCCTGTGTGGACAAGCTAACACTGCATCACTCAGCAGCAAGCATCTGTTATCATCTGTTAATGATTTCTTTGTCGCTCATTATTCTGATCAGTGTTGAAATGTTGATCCACGAGACTATCGTTTGTGTGCCGCCCACGTGGAACTTATGTTTGAGCAAGTGGTGCCTGTATACTTGCTCTTGTATAATCGCTTCTTGGGATCTACACTTGATTGTATGTATCAATGCTCTGGTCAAGCTCAAGTGTGCAAGAGCAGATTCGCTTGACTGTCTCTTGCCGGCTCTTTATCCCAGTTGGCTTAATCAGACTGTCAGCCAAGAGGGTCAAATCCATTTGGTTGTGTGATGTAAAGTCTCTTAAGCAAACAAGGCAGTGGGTTCAGGGAGACACATACAGCGATTTCTCAATTGTGGACTTGAGCTGGGACGGAGGGCAGAGAGAGGCTTGACTGTCCTATTCTTGGAGCGTTCAAGCACTTGTATTTATAGTGTTTTAGGTTCCATCATTCTTTTGAGTGATTATTGTGTATTTGTGAAATTTTTCTCTTAAGGTAAGAAACTGTTAGCCAATAAGGTAAGAAATTGTTTAGTTTAGAAGTGGTAGTTCTTCACAAAAGCACTGTTGGAATTTTATCAACCTATACAGATGTTTACTGCAGGTTAGTCCATTTATATAATTTTCTGCAAGTTGTACAAATAAACTTGTCAATTATTGAAAGCGAGATCCCATTGACATCCGTAAGTACTTTTTTTGTATTTATTATTGTCATTATTGCAGATAGGATTTGAGTGATTTAAATATCAGCTTTGTTAAAATGAAAACTGATTACCTGTTCATGTATGTTGTGAAATAAATACTAATTAAGTTGTCAA